ACTAGAACTTTGTGCGATATCCTATCCTCAAACTGTTAGAAGTGCTGGTCATTTACTTGCCATTCCAGTATTTATCTTATGTTTTATTCTTAGTACTTCTTTGCTATCATGAAAACTTTTTCTGAGTTTAATTGTTTTGAAACATTTAATTTTCCAAATATTGCTTAATCTTAATTTTTGTTCTAAGGTTTATACTGTATCTTTGACTTACAGTTTATTTAAAAGACATTGTATGATATCTTCTCCTAGTATTAGAAACTTTAAAACGTATATTTCCATTTTCTGTTGACTTTTAAAAAAAAACCCAGAGGTTTGTACCTATGTTGTTTATTTATTATTTCTTGCCTATATCTTGTAATATGAGGAACTACTTTGGCAGTAACAATACACAATGTACTAACCATTGTTACTCCTAAAAAATAAAAATAAAAAATAAATAAATAAATTTTTTTAAAAAGTGTGAATCAGTTCCTCTTGGAGCTGCACAAGAGTGTGTGCTGCACGTGGAGAAAAGTGTGAATCAGTCCCTCTTGGAGCCGTACAAGCTGGCCACTGATAAGAACGACACCCATCTGTGTGACTTCATCTAGGCACACTGCTTGGATGAGCAGGTAAAGGCCATCAAAGAGCTGGGCAACCATGTGACCAACATGCGCTAGATGGGAGCCCCTGAGTCTGGCATGATGAAGTACCTCTTTGACAAACATACCCTGGGGGACAGTGACAATGAGAGCTAATGTCACCAGGGCAACACATGCATGTTGGGGCTACGGTAAGCTTTTCTATAAACTGTACCAGAACATCTACTTAAGTTCTTTAATTCCTTCAAATAAAGAAATTTGTTACCCAGAGGAAAAAAAAAAAAGAAAAAAGAAAAGCTGGGGAATTTTTGTGTCTTTATTTTGATGTAGAGTAGGTACTACGATTTGTTTTTTTCCATATGGATACTGAGGAATTTTCTACCTAATATGATTAATGAAAGAAGAAAGGAAGACTAAATTAAATGTCATTTGTTTTTTTTTAAGAGACCAGTTATTAATGGTGCCTAGGCTGACCTTGAATTCCTAATCTCAAACAATCCTGCCCGAGCCTTTCAAATAGCTAGAACTGTATGCATGTACCACAATACTGGAGAGTGAATTTAAAGACACTACAATAGAGCTTGTTCTCTCTTTTAATTGTGTGAGACAAGAGCTCACTGAGTTAACCAAATTGGGCTTGAACTTGAGGTCCTCTTGCCTCAGCCTCCCAAGTGCTGGGGTTACAGGTGGGCAACACTACACCTGGCATTTATGTGATTTTTGACTGTTATCTGTGAAGTAATTCTTGTCTCTTAGGTTTCCTTCACAGACATTACTAATGAAAATGCCTGTCACAGTTTTGATTCTTTGTCACATGGTTCTTTTGACCAGAAGTTGGAAAATTGACCAAGTATAGCGCATGGTCTTACCCCTGCTTATATTTTTTATTTTTTTTATTTTTTTCCCCTGCTTATATTTTTATTTTGAAATATAGTTTCACAAAATGTTGCAAAATATACACACACACACACACACACACACACACACACACGTATACAGGAAGCCCTGTGCACCTTTACCTTTCATCCCCCAATATAAGTTTAGTATCTTTTATAAGTACAGTAGAACATGAAAACCTTGACATTTTTTAAAAGGCAGGGGATTGGACTCTGTAGTAGTTTCTCTAAGAAATGCTCACAATGGGCCGGCCAGATAGCTGAAAACAGGAGGAGCACTGTGAGTCCAATCTGTGTTGTGAGACCCTGTAGTAAATTGCCAAAAAAAAAAAAAAAAAAATGCTCAGAATATTTTTGATGCCACATCTTTCTCTATTTTACTCAAATTTAATAAGAATAAATTCAGTTCAACCCCTGCTTAGCATTCCTCTGGGTTAAATCTCCAGTACCTGACTAAATCAATAAATACATGAACAAAGTCAAAACCTTATGAGTTACATTGGGCTGCTGTAACAGATACCAATCTGTTGGTGACTTAAACAACATTTTTTTAATAGTCCTGGAGGCTGCAATGTTCAGGATCTGTGTGCCAGCAACTCTTGTGTCTGATGAAGGCCACCTCATCCTTTGAGGACAGCTCCCTCTCCTGCAGTATCCTTGTGTGGCTGAGAGAGGGAGCGAGGTCATGCCTCTGCCATTTCTCTTGTATAGATACTCATCCCATTCAGGAGGGCTCTGCCCTCATGATGTGATTATTTCCCCAATGCCCACCTCCAGGTACTGTAACATCAAATATTGGGGCTTCAACACATGAATTTTAGAGGGACATACCCTGTCTATAGCAAGTGGAATTTGTTGAAATTTCAGTAGTTTTACATATTTGTGGATTTTGCTTACCTATTTGTATTATATCCTTTGTATTTTTTATTGAATTTTAAAAGTTCTTTATCTGAGTACCTATAATAGGTGCATTAAATATTTTCTACCTATTTTGTGTTCTTAAAATTAAAAAAAATTATTAGTTTATGTTTGCATTACCTATAGATTACTTTCATGGGGGCATTGGTGCATAGTACATCTTAATTCTTTGTATTTCTCCTTTCCTCCATTCCCCACCCCCCATCCATCTTTTGCTCCCTTCCCATTTGCCATCTCCCCGGTCCTCCAGTTCATTTCTGACACTATCTATCTAGAGATGGTATCAGCTCCCGCAAGTTGAAGACTCATTCAATAAGACTGCCCCCACTTTAGATCCAGTTACAATCCCAGGCCCCTGGAACTTTGCACCAATTGGCTGCAGGTTGGAGTTCCCACAGCTCCTTCCTTGGGTTTTAATTAGTTTGCTAGAGTGACTCACAGAACTCAGGACAATACATATTACTTGCTTATTATAAAAGGTATTTTGATGTGTACAAAGAAATAGCCAAATACATAACTGGATGAGGTCTATAAGGTGTTATGTACAGATGTTTCTATTCCTGTGGAGTTCCATGGGGTGTGCTGCTCTCCTGGTATGTGGTTGAACTCTTGTTCACTTCGTGAGAATCTCCATATGTTCAGCTGTTGCACCAAATCCTGTCCATTTGCTTTTTGAATGGAGATTTTAATGCATAGACATGATTGAAACATGGACAACTATTTAAAATTGTGAGTGGGCTAAAAGGCTAAAGTAATTTAAAGCTAATAAACTGAGTGAGGAAACACAGGGAGGCCTATCCAGATTCTTCTTGGCCCTTGTGTGTAGCAGTTTTTTTCTTAAGGATATGAGCAGGACTCCTAAAATGGGGCTCTTGTGATCTACTATCAGACAAGGCAGGTCAAAGAATTCCTTGATGGCCCATGTCTCTAATGCAAAGAAAAATCATATTTTTAGCTTCTTATGGACCTACCTTGGAGAAAAGAAATTGTAGTTAATGTGGCCAGCTTTGAGGAAAATAAAAGTGCAGGTAAAAGGAGGGTAGGAGGAAGTCAGAGAAAGAGAAATTTTGTGTTTTGAGATCTGTTTCTGGTGCTTAAAATGCCTAACATAATTCTAGTCCCTTGAGAAATAGCAAGTATTTGGGAATAATGAGCAAAGACCCCAGACATATATCATAGTATTATTTTTCAAAAAATTATTCATTTCTTGTAACTTGTCAATCTTATTCATGACATTCTTTTTAATGAATGTGGGCTTCATTGTGATAAACCTACTTTAATTCCTCTCACTTGAATCTTTTGTGCTGTCTTGTTTTTCTCTAAAGATTTATATTAACCGGGTGCCTTCTTTTTAAAATTTTCAACTATTCCAGCTATGAATGGGATTTGTCTGAGTCTCTGTAATTCTTGATCTATGTCTCAGAGCTCCTTTACTAGACACATACACAACTATGATTGTTGTAAGTTGCCTTTTTATCTTTATTATAATTTGTTATTTCTGGTAGCATATTTTTGTTTTAAAGTGTGCTTTTAGTGATGTAACACAGCTATAACCTTACTGCTTTTCATGTGTTGTCTTTACCTTATTTTCAATTTTCTGTATCTATATGAAGTGGCCTTTGTGTGCATGGCAAATAGTAGTCAGATTTTAATTTTTGATCATCATATTAATCTCTGCATCTTAGTTGGAGTGTTAAGACCACTGATATTTAAGGATATTGTTTGTATGGTTGGATTTAGGTGCCACTTGAATAATTTTGTTAACCAGAATTTTGGAGTAACTTCTTCCATTTCTTTTGTTTTCTATGTTAGCATGATTTGTAAAATTTCTTTGTAATTCATCTATTGGTTTAATTATATCTTTTTGCATTTTTTTGCTGTTTGCTCTAGTATATCCTTTCTAAATGGGATGATATGAGAACAAGGGGATGAGAATTAGTTTTGCAGTGGCAAAACAACCCTGGATATTAAAAGGATTTGTTATGCTTCGAAGAACCATAGAACATATATGTTCAGAAAATCTGTAGTATTAGAATTTCTTATAGAAGGCAAATGAGAAAGGGATGTTATGGGTTATAGTGAAATATTAAGGGCGCTGCTCTAGGTTTACAATACATATCTTAAATTAGACATAGTGTACATAGACAAAATTGTGCTACTTCAGTAAAATCAGAGGTATATGCTTTTATAAGTAAGGTCAACGTGGAACATATAATTCTTTGAGTTAGAAGGAACATAAATGTTATAGGAACATTGCTTTTTGTTTTGTTTTTATTTGCTTTGTTTTTGCAGTGCTGAGAATTGAACTTCAGAGCCTTCCAATTGAGCAGCACCCCCACCCCCTTTTTATTTTTTATTTTGAGACAGTCTCACTAAGTTTCTTGGGTGGAATTCAACTTGTATCTCTTTGTGTCACCCTCTTGAATGCTGGAATTACAGGTGTATGCCATCTGTACGTGACTGTTTTCATCTTAAACAGAAAAAGCCACATATTTTACTGTTTGTTTTTCTCTTTGGCTTCATTTTCATCACCCTGATTCTATCTCTTTACCTCAAACATACCCTGGGTACTTGCTAGGTTTCTGTGATTGTTTTAGGTGTACAAGTATATATTTATATTTCCTTTCAAGAAATTTATACCTTATGTCTTAGTTACATTTTTGTTGCTGAAACAAAATACTCAACAGCCATAAATAAAGAAGGAAAAGTTTATTTCAGTTCACAGTGTGTCAAGGTTTCAGTTCATAATGAACATGTTCTGAGGCATGGTGGCATGGCAGAGGGGTATCACTGAGGAGAAGCAGTCCATGGGAGAGCAGACAGGGGAAAGCAAGCAGCCTACCTTCCTTCTGTCCCCTTATATTCATCCAGGGTACAAGCCTATTAGTTGGTGCCACCCAAATCCAGGATGCAGCTTCCATTATCTAGACTCAGAACTATGCTAAACTAGTCAAGTTATCATACACCCTAGATCCAGCCAGCTTTTTTTTTTAATTTTATTTATTTATTTGTGTGTGGGGGGCAGCTCAGCCCACCAGGGGGCGGGGCTGGCTGGCATGTGGTGCTGGGGGATTGAACCGCGGTCCCTGTGCTTTGCCAAGCTTGTTCCAAGTAGGTGCTTTAGACCACTGAGCCATCTCACCAGCCCCGATCCAGCCAGGTTTGAAAAGCCCCAGTTCTGAGCCCTTGAGGATTTGAGGAGGAGACATTTCTATACAAGCCATAACACCTTATTAAAAAATGAACATGTTGCAGTCTGTAGGCATTAAAATGATGGTGTGTTGTGTTTAAGTGGAGCCTCTGGGTGGAGGGGAATCTATATTTGCCTGAGAATTTTATAAAAGGCTTTGAAGAAGAGATGTTTTAATCGGAATTAAGTGATGTATATACTCCCCAAGCAGAAGTGAGGGATAAGGGTGGTTGAATGAAATGATATGACAAGTGAAAGCATTCAGTAAGGTGCCTGCTACTGATAGATTTTTTTTTTAGTACATGCTAGTTTTCTGTTATCTGTCCCTTCCCTATGTCAATTGCTAGGAGAGCACATTGGCTGCTTACAAAAATAATATAGAGTACTTATTGAGCTGTTAGACATTGTACTAAACACTGATTTAGGCATTTTATATTTATTATTTGGATCCAGTGATGACTGTAACAGGTAATTCATATTCCTTAAAGTTATTATTAGTTTATAGATAAGGAATCTGAGACAGTTTTTGTTTTGTTATTTCCAAGCATGTCTGCTCCTTGATTTTGTAAGTAGGAAGACGGGAATCATAGATAAGAATTCAAATCCAGTGTTCATCTCTGAATGCTTTCAATTTTGCTTTTTCTAATGCCATTTGAATTGTTTTACGAGTTTTGATGTGTCTTTTTCAGTTTCGAAGTACAGACCAGATAGTAGAGGGATTTTCTAAAGGTTCCTTGAATATTCAAGACAAGTAATAAAGTATCATTTTAAAAATCCTACCATATGAAATTTAATCATTTGACTTGAATTAAGTTGACTTTTATTTAGGTAAGATTCAGTAGACATTGACTTCCCCACTGCTGTCATTTTTTTTTAACTTCTGTTATGGGAGCTGTGTGAGGAAAGAACTGAAGTCTTGCTCCTTTTTAGTGAATTGGGGCATTCTAAGAATACATGAAAGGAAATTTTAGTACTAACTGAAATATGGTTACACTTTCATTTCCCTGTGTATTCAGCTAGAGCAAAGTTACAAAAGTTAAAAAATGTTTTTAACAAACACTAGTTATGTGTATTCTTTAACCAAAAGAAAAGTGGAAGCCAACCTAACTGTAAGCGTCTTGTCCAAGGTTATAGCATGCATATTATATCTCTTTTATTTCTTCTTTGGTCCTGTGTGCTCTTGCTCTCTCTCTCTCTCTCTTTCTCTTTCCTTTCTCCTCCTCCTTCTTCCTCTCATTCTTTCTTTGTTTGGTTTGGTTTTTTGGCACAGTCTCTCACTCTTCAATGTAGGCTGGTCTTCACCTTACCATATAGCCCAGGCTAGCCTTGAATTCACAGCACTCCTCCTACCTCAGCCTCTCAAGTGCTGGGATTACAGGTGTGTTCCACCATATATGACTTTTTTATCTTTTCTATATTCTGAGAAATATTCTTATCTTTTACTTATGATCTACTGAATTTCAGTGATCAGTTTTAATTTTCTAAGTTTAATTTTTTTTTTTTTTCGGAACCAGGGATTGAACTCAGACCCTTGCACGCAAGCACTTATTCTACTGAGCTATCTCCTCGACCCCTTAAATTGTTTTTTTTTTTAAATTGTTTTATTTTTGACTGATATATTTTTTACTATCTCTGAACATTCTAATAGATGATATAATTTACGTATCATATATATATATATACTGCATATAATTATAGATTATATATAATCATTTACCTTAGCTTTTATTGATTATATGCTGAATGTTTTGTGATTCTTTGTTGCTTTGTGATTCTTGGTTGATCCTTCAGATACATGAGTGAAGTGTAAAAAAGAGGGGTAGGAACAATTTAACATTGAGTAGGTGAGAGCCAGCCGTTAGAACAATGGTCTCCTAATTGTCAGAATGAATAGGCCTTTGTGTGGAGCATCCAGTATTTCACCAATTGGCCAGATAGTTCCTTCAGTCATTTTTTAAAGAGAAGGGCCTCACATTATTTGCTTTCAGATAGAATTTAGCTGATTTCACAAGTGTAGGTAGATACAGGGATGAGGAAATAAAATGAGCATCTGAGTCTTATACAAACCTTCCAGTAACCACCTCTGTTTGCACACCCACCATTTGTTCTTAACATTAATCATACAAATTGTGTCTGAGGGGCTGGAGAGATGGCTCAGTGGTCTAAAGCACCTACTTGAAACAAGCTTGGCAAAGCACAGGGACCACAGTTCAATCCCCCAGCACCACATGCCA